AAGGCTGGAGCTTGGCCAGCTCAGAGGGGGTGGCTGGTCAGCACAAAAGAGAACCAATGGGGACCAGAGACACGGCAGGCAGGAGGGAGAGAGCGGCACATGGAGTTTTGGTATGATATCATACAGTATACAAGTGCTGATCACATAGGGCCTATCACAGGAGTGTAGGTAAGGAGCCTTTCCATCCAAAGTGTGCTGGGATATTCACTGGTGCCAAGTGCAGCTGCACGGCCCAGAGCAGGGAGGCTGGAAATAGGTTATGTCACTGCACGTCGTGGGGACAGTGGTGGAGGAAGGTAGACTGCAGCAACATTTAGGTTGGTGAGGACTTTGCATCCACCTGGAAAAGGACCCATCCTGAGAACATCCACGTTTCTAATATGAGAACTAGGGGGACAAGGGTGCTCCCCGACTGAGAAAAACAGATCAGAGAGAAGAGATGAGGAAGACCACCAGATGTTCAACTGCTTATGGCTGTGTGTGGATGGACAGATGTGGTCTGGACTGGAGACAGCACTAGGGAGCCTGATGGAGAAAGGGGCACAGTGGATGCGATGGGAACAACAGAAATGGAACTCTAGCCATGCTATGGTCTGAGTGCTTAGGTCCTCCCAAAGTTCTTCTGTTAAAACCTAATATCCAATGGGACCATGCTAGGAGGTGGGGCTTGAGAAATGATTAGGCTGTGAGGGTGGAGCCCTCATAGATGGGATTAGCACTCTTATAAAGAGACCCAAGACAGATGCCCTGCCCTTTCCCACATGTGAGGACACAGCAAAAAGGCACTGTAAACCAGGAACCAGGATGTTAGCAGACATGGAATCTGCCAGAACCTTGTTCTTCCAACCTCTAAAACTATAAGAAATAAAGCCACTATTTATCAGCTACCCAGTTTAAGATATTTTTTTCAAGTGGATTAGTTCCCAAATGGACTACCAGAGGACCACTGTTATGGCTTGTATCTAGCTATCCCCTCAAAGCCTCATGTGCTCATAGGTGGGGCTTTGCAGAGCTGGCTAGATTTACGGTGTGTGCAATGGGATTGAGTCTGTGGTGGAACTAAATTAGTCCACTGATTGGTTTGGCACAGCTCTGGATAATGGAAAGGCCCGCCCTGGTTGTGGGTGGCAATACCCAAAAGGCTTGTGCCTGGACAGGGTAAAAGGGAAAGGAAGGCTTGCTTTGGTGTTGCTGCCTCTTGCCTACCCTGCCATGGACTGTTTCTCTTCTGCCATGCCCATCTACTGTGCTGCCCTGCCACCCTGCTTTGGAGCCAGCCAACTATGGAATGAAACCTCTACAAACTGTGAGCTGAAATAAGCCTTTCCTCCTTTAACTTGTGAGTGTCAGGTATTTTGTTCCAGCAACGAGAAAAGTAACTAAGAGAACCACCAAGTATTAAAGACCAGAATGAAGAAAGGGAAAAATAAAGCAAACAAGTTACAGGCATAGGAAGAAAACCAGAAGAGGAGTTTGTTGAAATAAAGGGAAACATGAGATGAACAGTTATGTGCTGAAGGGAAAAGGCCACAGACTACTCTTTAAGGGTCTCTCACTTTTTAAGGAATAACTAGGGCCTGCATAAAATCTTCTCTCGTACCTTAAGAGAACAGAGAAATACAGAAGTGTGCAGAAACCCCACAGAGTGGTCATTTCCCTAGTGGCATGGACTATTAAACTGCCAGCCACTGCAGAGTCCTAACCTAAGAGGAATGTAAAGGATGGCAAGTCAAACTGTACATCAATACTACACATCTGAGTATTCCTCCACTCCATCAACAGGTTCACACGTGCCTTTGACTTGATGTTTCTTTCCAGGTGTCCTCTCCATTTTTGTACCAGGCAACAGAAGAATAACAAATGGGACTCTTGGGTGCTTCCTCTTTTGTATGTGGCAAACTCCAGGTAGACATTCTGTCTGTCAATGCCCTTCCCTGTCTCCATGAATAAGTAACAAGTGCCCTGGCTGGAGTGGTACAGGATATAGCAGCACTGCCATGGCCTGTAGGCCTGAGAGGTATTAAGGGGAAGAGCTCCAACCTTAAAGGAAGGCTCTAAAGCAGTACTCTCCAGTAAAAAGGGAATGCAAACCATCTGAAATTTCAAATGTTCTAGTACCCATGTTCAAAAGTAAAAAGCAAACTAATTTTAAAAACACATTTCTCTTAATCTAACATAACCAACATATACTGTTTCAACATGTAATCAATATAAAAATTATTAATGAGATTTAACAGGAATTTCCCCATACTATGGCTTAGAAATCCAGTGGACACTTTACTTAGAGAAGGTCTCAATTCAGACAGGCCACAGTATAAGTGCTCAGTTAAAGTATCAGACAGTAAAGGTTGAAAGGGAAACTAAACAAAAAGAATTCCAACTCAACTTGAAAACTTCTTAGACATTGTGCCCATGCCTGAATTTTCAGGACAAAGTACAGAAAAGACAATTTCTCTGAATTTACCAACTTTAAATAAGTATTCCATCGTGAAATCACAGAAAAACATAAGCAGGACTGGGAGAGCTGGCCAAAGAAAAGGCTGCAGGGCATGATGTTGGGGAGACAGAGAAACACTCAAGCCAATAGATCCGCCAGCATCAGGGCCCAATTTCTAACTTCCTCATGGTACTTTTCTGCTTTCTTCCTTTATTCTTTCAACAACCCTATGTGGAAAGCGGGATCTATCTCGTCTTGCAGATGAAGAAACTGAGGCCCAGGCAATTTGAATCACACATTCATTTCTAGTCACTGCTCTCAGACTTGAACCCAGATTTCAGGCTTCACCCCTGCTCCACGCTTCTTCAGCAAGCAGCTTGTCAGAACCAGCTAAAAACCCAGAGTGAGAGCAAAGTAAGCATCTGCCAAGTCACTGAGCAGGTGGCCCCCTGCCCAGGCCCAGTGACTCTTTAAATAACACCTCCCTTTTCTGCAGATCTTTTGAGTTTCCAAAACCACTTCATGCATGTCCATGTACTTTTTGTTTTTTTGTGATATTGAGGATCAAACCCAGAGGCATGCTCCACCACTGATCTATACCCCCAGCCCTCTTTTATTTTGATACAGCCTTGAGACAGGGTCTTGCTAAGTTACCCAGGCTGGCTTTGAACCAATCTTCCTGCCCCAGCCCCGGAGTCACTCAGATGACAGGTGTGTCACCTCACCCAACTAAGCATATATTTGATCACCATGAAGGAATAACAGTGCCTGCTTAGGAACATGCCCAACTATGGCATCAAGAAATAGGTTGTCCGAGGTCACCTGGTACTCTCATCTCCACATCTAATGTCTGTCCACTCCCCCACGCTGGCTCTCTTGATGACATCTTTTACTTTTAAAGTAGAATTTTAAAATGTTAAGGCTAGCTACTTTAAAAATGTATTTTGTGGCCGGGGATTTAGCTCAGTGGTTCTGCCGCCTGCCTCACGAGCATAAGGTTCCGAGCTCAATCCCTGGTACCAAAAAAAAAAATGTATTTTGATGTTTTCTCAAACCAGTGGTTAAGATAATATTTGGGCACAGTTTTAATCAATCACAAAAGTACCTTCCTCCATCTCTAGCAAATTGATGCTCAAAGTGGCCTTATAACATTCTCAACTCTTCAAGAACTGGCAGTTCCCTGCCCTTACTAATCAAAGATTCACATGCACACACTGATCCAACACACAGACACCAAAGGTGTGTGGCAGGTCAGCACATCCTTTCCAGCTAAGCCCTGGCTGAAGGGGAACTGAAACAAGGGTCTCCCAGGCCTCTGACCTTTTATTTGTTTACTTTACACACTATGCAATTTAGACAAGCCTAACAATATGGGATTCCTTACGTGGGATTCCACATAAACTCCGTGGGTTTTTGACTGGGCCAATCATTTATAGCTAACACAATACTTTAAGCCAGTGAGGGGACTCTCCCTGGTCAATATACCTAAACATTGCTGAATGCAACAGGGTAAATGTTTGCCCAGGGCCACATTTTTAAAATTAAAAACAAAAACAAAAAACTTGATGCTCAAGGTACTGATCAGCTATTCTCATGGGAAAATAAGCATGACGCAGATAAATAAACAAGAAGCTTCAAAGTTATTTCACTGATTGATTTCATAACATTTTACATGTTCACAACTGTCCCGTAAGCAGGTCTAAGGGAAAGCACATGGAAGCCCAAACTGCACCCTGCTGCACAGCCGCTGGCAGGTACAGCCTGATCTGCAGACTTTTACAAACTGACGCACAGGTTCCCTGCCCTAACCCCCACCAGGTGAGTTGGCCCACCATAAACCAGAACACCTAAGCATTATGGGGTCATCATTAAGAACTAAAGACCACTGCTACAAAATGTGAAAGCTCTTTGCTACCTTTTATTTAACCATAGTCGAAGTATCTTCCTACTAAGGAAGTCCTGCCATGCCAAAAAAAATGTTCCTTCACAAAAAAGGATGGAAGAGTTGACACAGAAGAGCTCCTAGATCCTGAGGCTACAGGTCACCTTTCTCATCAGGACTTCCAAGCTAGTCAGTCAACAAGCTTCTAATCCAGAAGTACTGATTACAGTGGTACCAATTTGGTTTGCAAACTAAAGTGATCGGCAAAATTTTGTTTTCGTTTGTGAATTGTCCCTGAGGTGATGAACACGACCACAGGCATATTTTTTGCATGAACACAAACTTGGCCATCTTCTCTAGACTCATGGAACAAATTAAGCTTGTGAACCGAGGTACCACTGTATTTCTAATGTTATTTGAGTAGTCTTGACAACAGCCAATGGCCTCCAACCATGCCACAGTCCTGCACCCCAAGAGCTCCCAGATATAAAAGAAAGCCAACCAAGATATCCCAACACACACACCTCCCCATTAGGAACCACTTCTGCACAGCAGGTGTGCCATGGCCTAAATGCAACAGGATCCCACCCCACCATAGGGAACATCTGCATTCAGAAGAAGAAGAAGTAAAGAGGAAGAGGAGAAAGAAAGAAAGGGGAACAGAGAAAGTAGCGTTCTTACTTTTCTGGCAGCGATTTGTGGTCCAGCAGCGGTAGTTATACTCATTGTTGATGGTGGTCTTCTCACACAGCGGCTTCTCCTCCATGGTCCCTGGACACAGGTCCCCACATTCCTTTGGGGGCTTGTTCCCCACGATATAGTTATTGGACACTGCATCCAGGATCAGAGACCAGTCCACCGTAGAGAGGTAACACAGGTCAGCGTTTTTCTCAATCCTGATAGCCCCCCGAGTAATGTTCCTCAGGTTGTAAAGCCCGATATCCTTGAGATTGGTCATCTCAAAGATAACCAGGGCGTAGTTGTAAAAGAGTTTCCAGCCGCGGATGACTGTGAGGTTTGGGAAGAGGTCTCCAAGGCTCTCGAGGCCGGCCACTCGGAACAGCAGTAAGTATTCGGTGATGACTGTGAGCTTGGGGAAGCGGTAGCTGCGGTAGTCCTCGGCCTTGGAGATGAGCAGGATATGCAGGTATCCCTCGATCACCGTGCAGTTCTCCAGGCGTTTTAGCTGCTGATAGTCGTTGCGGATGTCAATGCCTGGCCCACAGACTGAAGGGAGACAAGGAGGCAAAGGTAGGACACATCTCAGTTAAAAGGAAACCATTCTTTAAAAAAAATTCTTAAAACTATTTTCCAAAGCATAATATGGTCAGCTTGCAGACAACCTGGTTTCATTAAGCGAAAAGACTCAAGTTTTCACCGCAGACCAACCTGAGGTATGGGTGCAGCTGAATCCATGAGTCGCTGTTTAGTCTGCTGTCACTCAGGCCCACACTGGGTCAGATGCTGTTCAACACATGCAGCAACTGTGGGAGGCACAATCAGCCTTAACCACCCAACTAAAGCCTGGAGCCCAGGGTTGCCTGGGGTTACACACAGAAGTCAAGGTTGTAACCCGGGCCAGCCCAGCTCCACAGCTGCCAGGCTTCACATACCCTGCTTGTCCTTTCTGCAGAGTACCAGCTCCCAATGCCTGAACAAAAGCTTAGCAGCCAAGAACTTACTACTGCACTCAGCCTGCAGGCACGAAGCAATAGTCTACACTGGAGAAGTCATCACGATGCAAAGAATAAATGAAAGAACCATGCTCCATGCATCCTGCCACATCTGACGTGGGCCCAGTGACTGTCTGCTCTCCCCAGAAAGGCATTAATGTAGATACAAAGGTTAACTTCACAGAACTAGAAAACAGTATTCTTTGATGAAAAAAGTCATACACGTCCTTCTTTAATCAAGTGTTTTATTAATCAAGAAAACATACTTCCTATAGTAAAGTTAGGTAATAGCAAAAGACAGTAAAATTCATCAGTGACCTCAACATCCAAAGATAAATAAGATTAACACTTACTAACAATTATCCTTTCCCTATAAATAACTGAAAGGAAATAAAATCAGACAATAACAATATTTGTAAATGTACTTCCTTCATTTAACAAGAACATCCTACCAAGCCAATGAATGTCCTTCTAAGTTACCATTTTAATAAGGAGATGGTATTCCTAGAGTATTACTACACATCACGAGTTCTTTTTGAATCAATTCCCTATTGTTGGACATTTAGGTTATTTCCAGGTTTACACATTTCACACAATATACCAATGAACGTTCTTGATAGATATCCAATATTACTGTCTTAGGATAAATCCCTAGAAGTGGCATTGCTGGACAAATGCATCTGCAGATTTTAAAAGCTTTTGGTAAAATGCTTGAGGACCTTACCTTTAAAATTCCAGATGTACACACCAAAACAACCCTTGCTTACTAGATATTCTTGGGATTTCATAATCTTCCCATCCCACTATTAAATCTTCTCAAACAGACTGAAGTTTTCTGTCCAATGCAATTCCCTAATGTGTGAAGCACCCAACATGTATGATACAATGCAAGAGCCAAAGAAGCAGTGCCCCACCCTCTAAGGAGGCTCCAGGTATTACAGCCATGGAAAGAACTATGTGGAGATGAAGGTGGGGCACAGGAATGGAAGGATCCAAGCGCTGAGGAGTCGGCAAAAGTTGGTAATATAGAATGTGAAATGATTTGGTACAATTCCCTCATTTTATTGATGAGAAAATGAGGCTAAGAGAAACCAGAACTCAACAAACGCCCAAGCAAGCTAGAAAGTTTTGGATATACCACTTTGTTCCATCTCATGCAAAGTTCCCAACCCTACCTCACTCAAGGCAACATCATTGCCACCTTAAATGTGAGGAAATACTGTAGATTTGAAGAAGTCATGTTGTGCACACAAGGTCTCATAGTTCAGCCTTCCCCTAAGTCCATCCATACGGCAACACCAGGCCAGAGAGACTCTACAGAATACATCCATGCCTGCTCCTACCTAGTCTCCTAGTATGTTCTTCTTGTTTAGCATACAGTGGCCACCAATATTCAATATGCCAATCTCTTTCCATCCTCACACCCTGCTCCCTGGATTGCTTTCTTCCACTTATGGTTTAAATATGAAACTCCCCACTCCACCAAAGACTTATGTATTGAAGGTACTAACTTTTCAATGGATTAATCCATTGATGAATTCATAACTCATCATTGAATGGGCTGTTAGGAGGCAAAGACCAGCTGAAGGAGGTAGGTCACTGGGGCGCACCTCTGAAGGGTGTACCTTCTCTCTGCCTCTCTGCTTCCTGGCTCCCATGAGGTGAGCAGCTTTCCTCTGCTACACTCTTCTGCCATGATGTTTCTGCCTTAGAGCCAGCAGACCATGGACTGAAACCTCTGAAGTCATAAACAAAATAAACCCTTTGTCCTTTAAGCCGTGTATGTCAGGTATTCTGTCTCAATGACAAAAAGCTACTACACTCCCCTTCACTCACGGTTCCATTCTCCTCCACACACACCAGTTTCAGTTCAAACTGTCATTTTCTCAGAGCTTTGCCTATATATTTCAGCTTCAGTGGCCACCCTCCCAGTGTCTCCTAACTCCTTCTTCCTCCTTCCCCATCTCTCATGTCTCCATTGCACTTTTACTCAACTTCAGGTCAATGACTGAAAGTCCTTGAGTACCCAAGGCACCAAGTCTTTTTCTCCAGGGTGAGCAAACACTTCCTTTTTTCCCGTGCCCAGCCTAAAATATTTTATTCTTTCGGGCCGGGATTCTTTCCATGCCACTGTAAATGAAATATATTAATGTGCTCTCACACAGTACACAGCGTTTTTTATTCAGGAGTGTGTGAACTCAGTCTATCACTGTATTCAATACAGTTTGTGCTTCATCACGTTATGAAGTGTTCGGCATCAATTGCTATCATTTCCCGATCACAAGAATTCAGAATCTTGTGAAAGAGGATGAACACACACACTGAGGTGTGTCGATCTTTAAGCCTACGATCCAAATGCAGGCAGGAGGGGAGAGTCTGCTCCGCTCTGGCATCTGGCTCCTTCCCACGGCCCTCGAAGACCGCTCAGCGAATGGAAGCCGCGCTGTAGAGCTGCCACTGGCAGCTCCTTCTAATGAAAGAGCAGCCTTCATCCTTGACACTTTCCCTCCCATTTTTAGAACAAAAAAAGAAATGGAGGAAGAAACCACTCACTTATCCCGGAAGAGGAAACAAGCCCAAGGCACAAGGTACAAGGCAGGGCCCAGCAACCACCTGTTCTGGATTCCGTGACTGGCACTGTTGGTCTTTGGGGTGTTTCACAATAGAAATAGAAAAAAAGGAAACCAAGCTGGATCATGCACGATAGCACAGTGTTCAAAAGACCCAAGCCACAAACAAGAAAGGGCACACAGCATGCCTCAACCGCGCCATGGAAGAATACGTGCACTGAGGAAGGAAATACTCAGCACAGTGCAGAAGGATACACCCTGTGCTACTACTGCTCATTGATGATTAAAAGGAAATTGCAAAATACCATTTCTCCCTTTTCAAAGCTACAGATGCAAAAGACCCAACTTTTCTGTTTTGTTTGTGTGTATGTCATAAAAAGACCCAAACACTCAGGATGTGAGATCCAAGAATGGCCTATAAAGAATAATAAAAGTTATTTGCTGGTGTTTTTTTTTTTCTTTTTTCTTTTTAATGAAGTGTGCTGGACGTCTCTATAATTTTTTTCAGATGATTGCAGAACCTGGAAAAGCTCTTGCTGCTATTGATGTATAACATACTGCTATTATTGCTCTTTTTATATAAATATAAATATACTTGTACATATACAGATATATATAACTTCAAATTTGGGAACTTCTTAAGCGTGCTGTCAATTTAAAAACTATCTCAGTTTACCATGTTAAGATGGCATTGTACAGAAATTTGTAGCCATGTTGCTCTAGAAACGCTAAATTTAATTTTTCTTTCTATTTGTCCATTTAACACACTGTGTTAAATATGTAAGGTCTTATCTATGTGGGTTTGATTACAGAAACTAATAAAGCATTCTCTAAATCATACAAAAAATATAAAAGTTTATGGAAATGACAGCCAGCAGGAAGCAGGGCAAAAAGAAACAGCTGGAAAGGAGAGGCAGCAGGTCCCAGCTGGTCCCTTAGGCCAGCGAATGACACAGAAGCAAGACACATGGAGGCACCGACACAGCCCAACCGGGAAGCCAGGGTATGTGGTACTTGGGGCAGCATGCACTTCCCCAAAGACAGCACTTTGTATATGACTTTCAGCTGAATGGAAATCTGTTCCCCAAAACTCCTATGTAATTTTTTTAATTCAAGAGGCAGAATTTCTGCTTTTAGAACGTAAGCAAAAGGTATAAACAACCTATATATAATTTGGAAAATAAATTCCTAAGAAATGCTGAAAAGGGAAAAGTTAATGAAAAGCATTTAGCTGAGAAAAGCCACAAAAGGTGGGTATCAAAGTGTTCGCAAGAGCCATGCAAGAAATGCAGTCACATGTTTACTGCATGTTCTGTTAGACACATCCTTGGGGTCCTAGATGAAGAAAAATGAGACAGCTGAGTTCAGCAGCCCAGAGGGCCATTTGTAAGAACACACTCCAAACTGAACGTGTGAATAAGAATTAAAAGGATTACAACGAATAATTGATAATTTGAAATGGGAAGAAAAGTTCCAAAGGGGTAGGGGGTGGTGGGAGGGGAAGGGGAAAGGGAAGAAGGGAAAGGAAAAATGATGAGAAAAGGAAAAAATGGAAACAAAGTTTTTGTAAATAGGGAAGGGTGGAGGGGGTGAAGGGCGCACAGGTAATGGGGAAAAGTTACGAACCAAGATACATCATGTACAGGTACAAGCACCCAATGATAAATGTAAACATGTTGTATACCTAAAATGTACCAATAAAAGAATTTATGCAAAAAAAAAAAGAACATACTCTACCTCTACACTTTATTTTTCTCATCACCAAAATGGGCTGCTACAGCCAACCCTGTAGAACCTGCTATAACCATCAAGTCAGTACTTCTGTGTTACTGTCAACAGTAACGAGCTTCAGGCGACATTACTGATTAAACGTTAATGAAAAATCTGTCTTGTTGCCTCGACCTAACCATTACAAATATCAACAAAGTGGAGGGCAAATTAGCAAAATCACTGATTACCCTTCTGTCTTTCTGTCCACAGTGCC